ACCAAATGTGGCTGCTATCTATCAGGTGGGAAGGCTGAGGGTCTTCATCACTCTACACAGCTGAGCAAAAAGAGGCAGTCCTCACTTCATACCGGGTCTCATTTTCATGGCAGAAGAGACTTTAAAGCCTTTCCTTATCTCAGGCAGCATCTTTGTGCCTGACTTGTCCAACTGAATTCAGTGGATGGGGAGCAGTTCTGCAGCAATGAGCTGAACTACTGAAAGAGTGCCAGCTGATGAATTTACACATTTTGGGGCTTGACCCAACTCCAATTAAAGTCAAGGGAAAAATTCTCTTTGTCTGCAGACAGAGTAGTGCCAGAATCATCCCCCAAGCCAGTCAGCCAAAGTTCATCAGACGCCAGTCTGTGATGCTAAAATGAGCTTGCCCTCTTTTGTGTAGGTGAGAGTAGATGTCTATCACAGAGAATGTAACCAATAAAAGGGCTGTGTCTCTAATTTCCAACTCTCCCTCCTTTTCAGACTCCTGCCAACTTTTTTCTATTTTTTTTTTTTTTTCAGAGAGTAGAGCTGGGGACCTTCTGTCCTATAAAACACCACTAGATGAACCAGGGGCTGTGTTCATCCAGGGGCTGTGTACATCCAGGGGCTGTGTTCTTCCAGGGGCTGTGAAGGACTTAGAGTGCTGAGTAAACCACAAGAAAAATCCTTGCAGCAGAACCTGGTTCTGTTGCTCCCTAGTCTAGAGGTCAGATGCAGTCTCCAACTACTAGGTCAGAAACTCTTCATACCTATGGCCTTCTGAATATCAGTTTTATTTTTATACAAGTGCTTAAAAAGATACATACTCTTCCAGTTTTCACAATAGCCTGCATATCAAAGCACTCTCCATGAAGTTGGATGGATTTGAATCCAGATGGGGATGTGTTGGAAAAGAAAATGTGTCTGTCTTCAACTTCCATATATAAAGTTTATGTAGGAGCCTGTAGCTTTTATCAATTTGGCCTGAGGCAGCTCATGTTAAAAAACTAATTTTCTACTCTGAAAATACGAGACATATATGCTCACTATTGCTAAAGGTCCTGCCCTCCTTTGCAAAAAAGAATTTCTCATTGGAATTTGATTGTCTTACTGGAATGCAAAAGGACAAAGAGAAATGATCCCTCCCTTGGCTGAATTCTCAGCAAAGGCAAATTTGCAGAGCTCAACAGAAGTCTGAATTCAATCTCTAGAACTGAATATTTATTTATATCAAACTGTTGGCTTCTTTGTCTTCAGCTAGGCTGGAAACATAAGTGGTTCATCATTATGCTATCCAGATATTACATTCATGAAACTAAATCAAAGCTTAGCCATTAAAACACACTCACACACAAAATCAAATGAAAAGACAAGCAAAGAGTTCAGTTCAATCCTTCTACCAGGTTTGCTATTTTGGCTACTGAGCTTCACCCGACATTTTCCAGAGAGAGGAAGACAGAAGAAGACAAAGTGTGGGAATGCTTAAATGGAAGGTCACAAATCGTAGAGAAAATTAATATGAAAAAAACTAAAATTTGCTAAGAGGGTTCTTCAGTCTGGCAACGACAACAACAAAAAAGAACACAGAAAAATGCAGTCAAATACAGACTGGAAAGTGATGCAAATTTTTGTGCATTATGAGTAACTGTTGGATGCAATGAAGCCACATGCCATAAGTTTTCTATCAGAAATGATTGACTAAGTGAAGACTAAATGATTGACTGAATGATTAAACTGAATGTATTCTGAATGAATTGTAACAAATAGTTATTGGAAAAATCGGTGTGGGCGATTTCACAGAACCCTCCTAGCCTGATCATCTCTACATCTGGGTGCTTAAAGCCCATATTCACTAACACATGAACATATGCCTATCTTAGAGTAATTTAAGCCAACATGATGATTCAGTTTCACATAACTACAAACATTACGACTGAGGGCATGACAAAGAAAGTGAGGTTCAGTCTACTACTGACTGCTGGCACATTTGGCAATAAGCTGTGTGTATACATGGGCATGAGATTTCTCTACTGTTTCTACCTCTCCAAAATATTCAAAGTCTCTGGCGGTGCTTTGTTTCCCACTGGAAAATCCCAATGTGTTTTTAGAGCCTTCTCTAAGGGTCAGTCTACATGCTGCTATACACCTAAGGACACACCTAATTCATTTGGGCAGCTGGGGAGAGGTGAAGGACATTTGCAAAGCTGCTACTGGTGATCCTTATAGCAGCACAAAGGGCCTGGGCCACTTTGTGTAGGTCTTGGGATCAATGGTCATTTAAGCCTGCTACATTTGCTTATGCAAATGAGCCTTGCTTGTCAGCTCAGGGTTTCTGCCCCATGAAAGGCAGGGTACATTTTTCACTGAAGCAGGAAGACTTTTCTTTCCCTCAGGAGTGGATCTATCAAGTGATTGGCGGCATTGGCCCTGAGTCCCTGAAATGCTTATGGCCACATTCTCTCTGGTCATAGAGATACCCAACACACTTTATTTTTCAGGGCATTCATGTTGATCTCAATGGTAATGGTTGGACTTAATGATCTTGAAGGTATTTTTCCAACCTAAATGGTTCTATGAACCTGTGATTCTATAACCCAAAACTACATGTATTTCAGTTTAAATTGCCATAGAATTAGCACTGTAACTGAGCTTTCCTATACTAGATAAAATGAAGTAAAAATGCTGCTGCAGCAAAGCCCATGAACATGTTTTTTCAATTACATATTCATCTATATTAAGTGGAATTCCTAACAGATTGGAGCATTGGCACATATGTTGGTTGCGAGCTTAAAATATTTTTAAGTGGCTAGTGCATAAAACATCATTTTATGTCTTTGTACTGCAACAGTTAAGGTTAAATTCAGGAAATAGATCCCTTCCTCAGTAATGCTGGGAGAGGTTGTAATTCATTTGGATTTTATATATCCCTGAATCTGTTTCAGAAGGGAGGTGCTTTTGTCCTTTTTTTCCTCATAGGAACTAAGTGCAGTACTTTCTCTTCTAATAAAAAGACCTCTATTGCTTTGGTTCTCCCCTCTTCTGAAACAGCATAGTGGTGACAGCATTCGGTAAATTAAATTGTTTGTTCAAATCTCTCCTCAGACTGAATGAGCTCAAGGCCATATCTTGCATTATCAGTAGAAACATGAAACCTTCCATAAATCCTATAGTAGGTCCTGGGTATATCAACTAGTTAGCACCCATGTGCCCCAAGCCAAAATCATATCCTGCAAGTTCAAAGCACAACAATGCAATTATTTCACGTAGCTCAATCCAACCTAATGCAACCAAACCCGACATAAATTCAACGGATTTTATAACTGTTTGCAAGCAGATGAATATTAGGAAAGGCATTGTGATTGCATTCCATACAGGTATTTTTTCCTTATGGCCTAAAATATCGCCCATATTCTGCAAAGGGTAAGCTCAGTCCTGTGTAGTGAAGACATTTATTCCACATACTTTTGTAACCCTTCTGTAGGATCCAACCATTCACCCTGAACTGGCATTTCCCATCAAAATCCTCTGATGAGGAGAAACACACACAACGGTGGCAGCCATGAGTCTGGCTTCCAGGAACGACAGATTCTGCAGGACAAAGCCCAGTATTTATACACAGAAGTGCTTCAGGATGGACTATTGCAGCAGACACTTCTCACAGAGCCTTCTGCAATCATGCCCGAGTCACGTCCTGGTGAAAACTCCCGCAGGAGTGAGAGGTTAGGTCAAACTCCATGGTTCATTGGGTTCTTGGCTCCTCTGCCAATTAGCATTGGCAATTATCTGTGGCAGCAGACACCAGCCAATTGTTCATCCATGTTTATATATCATTGTAACCATTCATGGGCCTACATAATAAAGTCCCATTGCTGAAGAATACACATCCCAGCGAACCACAGAGGAAAAAGAAAGAAAAGAAAAAGCAAAGGGTGGGTGGTATGTGGTCACTGCAATGGGGACATGGTGTAGACAGTTCTCAGGGAAATGATGGGAGTAGGCTGCTCTTTGATATTAACTGGGAAGTGCTCAAGCAGAAAAGCCATTACAGCAGCAGGGATGGAACTCAGGGTACGGATACAGAAAAGTCAAAAGACAAGGAAGAGATTGGGTGGTGAGACTGGGAAGAGAAAAGACAGTCTTTTCTGTTGCTTTATGATGCAGAGAAACACAGGTCTTGGAGAGATCTGTTGGACTGCTGTGTCCAGTCCCCTGCTATTGTCAGCAACACTGCCATTAGATAAACAGCTCTCCTTAATGTTTGCTCCAGTTGATTACACTGAGTCTGAAAGAGGAGAAAATACACCAACTCCTTTATTCTCCTCTTTTTTCATCCCAGAGGAGAAATCTCACAGTTCCACGTTAGTGTGGGATACAGATCCAGATGAAAAATAGACAGGGATGTCTATATATAGATTTCCTGCCTGAACTCATACAGAAATCTGGTCAATACAATCAGTGGAGCTCAGAGAGCCATCCACCTCACCAGATGTAGGTGCCTTCTTCAAAATGAGGGGGACAGCTGTCTGGACCCTAGCAGACATATTGGTTAGATATCAGCTGACTGTGATTGCACTTTACACATGGAGCTCATGTGTCGGTATTTAACCTGTGAAGTTACCTGAATCTGGATCTCCCACCACCACTGAGGGGAAAGGCTTTATTAAACCCTTAAGCAGAGGATGGCAAGTCTTTGGTCAGAATATCTAAGAAATTAGCACAGAACTGGGAGGTAGGCACAGGATTGACTGGAATCCCAAAATCTTGCAGTGACTAAGTTGTGGGTTTGACCTCAGAAGAGGCTAGAGGTCCACAAACCTTTCAACCTGGTAATTTATTTTATGCCCTTCCCACACAAATTAAGCTTCAACAATCAGCTTTTTGTTTCTTTTCAAATTAAAAAAAAATATTGAAATCTTCCCAAGGTAGTGTCTTACATACATTTGCAAAGTTACTTTTGGTGCATTGTTTAAGAGAGGCAGCAGAACACGGCAGAAACTTCAATGTGCACAGCTACTTACTGAGCTCACAAAGCAGTGGTCAGATTCTCCACTTTCAAATAGGATAACATCTTTTATGAAGACTGCGATGGCTCTCATTATGAAGGACATGAAGAGGTGCATATGAATATAATTTCGAGTACAGTGTAGCTTTCTGTTGAGGAGAGATATAATAACATTTCTGAACAGTAAGGCTTCTCAAAAACATTATTTATCTATTTACATGTTTCTTCTGCCAAGATATAGAATTACAATTAAACATTAGAAACCCTGACACAGACAATGTTCTGATGTAAATCACTGCAAATTCACTTAAGTCTTTTTAAAGCCACAAAAGGGACGAGGGGGAATGGGCTAAAGTTGCGCCAGGGGAGTTTTAGGTTAGATGTTAGGAAGAGCTTCTTTACTGAAAGGGTTGTTAGGCACTGGAACAGGCTGCCCAGGGAGGTGGTGGAGTCACCATCCCTGGAAGTCTTTAAAAGACATTTAGATGTAGAGCTTAGGGATATGGTTTAGTGGGGACTGTTAGTGTTAGGTTAGAGGTTGGACTCGATGATCTTGAAGTCTCTTCCAACTTAGAAATTCTGTGATTCTGTGAAAAACAGGTCCGTCATACTGCTTTCCATTGGAAAAGAAATAGCTTTGACTCAGTAAACTGCACTCATGATAAAGGACTGTTTTTACAGAATGTTTGTACTATAATAATTTTTTTAAAGGTAAAATATTTCCTCGGGGGGAGAAATAAATTAGCAGCTGCTGCCAAAATTAACACATATTGCAGGTTTTTTGGAGCAATGTGAATAATATATTCACTTAAAATGGCTAGTTATTAATTATATTAAGAACATCACAAGGGTTTTTCTTTCCCTTGCCCACCAATATTTTGAAGATGAATTTTCATCAAACAGGTCTGCTTTTCAAGTGTATTTTGTTCAGTCATCAGAACCACAACAGACCTCACTCAGCAACATGATTGAATTACCACTTTTTAATGAGTTACTGTGCATCGGCAAGTTTATGCTCTTAATCTCTGACGATGGCAAGATAAAGGGACTGAGCTGAGTCCTCTGTTCTTGTGGCAAAACCAAGTCAAATTACACCGTTTCCCACAGATGAAGTGTGTGAACCCTGACAATTTCAACAGCTTTGCTGGCACCTTGTACCTTGTTGAGACAATATAATTTGAATATGTCTGATTCACTGTTTGGGGAGCAGAGAGAGCATGTATGCTGAGAAGTGCAAAGGAAGCGTTTATCTCTGCTTAAGGATCATGAAGGGTGAGGCCAGTTGTGTACACACGAATATACATGCCTGAATCTATTGCAAACAACAGGAACTGAGGATGAATTCTGATGCCATAACTTAGGCATTTCGTGCCATTTAATTTGCTGTACCATGTCTACCTTTCAGTCCATAAGGGCCTGTGGCTCCTGAAGGTCCTACATTACACCGGTTCAGTTTGTGCATGACTCAAAGGCTCTAGCACATCTAATATGGTTCTGGGTGACTCTGTTTTGCCCTAGATCTCCATAGGCTACAGTAGGAAGTATTTCTGAAATGCATTTCTGGAGGTAGATTTGGGGTGAGAACCATCTATCCCATTCTGAATGCCTACTTTAGCTGAAATTCATCATTAAATATACTCATCCATACTATTCTGACCCAGTCCCTGTATTTCAGATACAGAGATCCACCATGTAAAAGTTTACATTTAGTCAGATGAATCGCACCTTAAATAATTGGACTGGGGGTTGTAACTCTCATACAAATGCCCCAAATCATATATCATAAAACGCAGATACCAAAAAACGGAGGAACATCCCTCTCCTGTCCATATTAGATGTGTTTTACATCCACTCATAGTTTATAGACAAAACAGTTGACTTATTCATATTTAAACAGCCACTATTCCCTTTGAGTCATCCCCTTACCTCTGTCTTTTTTGCTCGTGCTCTTACCTGAAGAGACATAAAATGATCATAGCAGCTGTGAGAGCAATGAGCGATAAGGTATGTCCAATGGTGTAGCCAGTCTTGACTGTGCCATAGAATGACGTTTGCTAACATGAAGGAAAGAAGCAAAAAAACTTTCAAAGAGCTGCCAATATTTGCCTAAATACCCATGTCACTGATATTTTTCTGATTTTCTTGGTGAAATAAGGGAACCATCCTACTCTGTTATCTTATAAAAAACTTCCTTCACCCTTTAAAATCACATCAGCCAGACTACATAATTCAAATACCACCAGTGTGAATAAGGGGAATGTGTCTGGTTCCAGCAGAGCTTGGATTGCACCAAAACCAGGTTAATGTTACACGAGGGAAAGATTCATAGAGGAAGGAGTCTGTTTTGACACTGGCAGAGACAGCTACATGGTTATAACCTTGTGAAACTAAACTGACTAATGTTCAGTTAAACAGTGCACGGACATGTCAGCTCTTAGGCAGTGAGCATGATCAGCTTCATTATATTAATGAATTTTGAGGACAGAACTGGTCTGGAAATTGGTTTTGCTTTTGTGGAAGCTAAGCATTGTGTTTTAGCAAGAAAAAAAAAAAAGAAAAAAAAAACAACTAAAATATCCTCACTGAACACACAGAAATATATGTTAAGTTGGAAATTAGTCCACAGTTTTCTCTCTGATTGCATACAGAGGGAGTCTCTGAACATGGAGCACCATGGGATTTAAATCCAACAGGGAATCCTGGTCTAAATAATATGGGGGAATAAGGCAAAAAAACAAACAACAAAAACAACAGCTCTCCTAAGGCTCACCAGCAACACTAAATCAATATATTTTGATCCTCAGCTTTAAAAGAAAAGATCAGTTGGTATTCAGACATCTGTTTTATCAATGAAAAATCAAAGTTTTAATGAGAATCCAACTCAGCTTGTAGAAAGTCTTATTTTTCTAGCCCTTGATTGACCCTTCTCTGCCCTCCTTGCCACCATTTTCTGTAAAACAACCAACCAGCCAAAACCACAAAAAGCAGTTTTGACAGAAAATCTAAACCCAACCTTATCTGGGAAAACACTCTTTAATAACCGTAAGAGCTGAATTTTTTTATAGGTTATTTTCATGGGCCTTGATAAGCACTAGGTGCTGTTCAGGACCAGTGAGGCTGAGATGAGAGGTAATCCTCTAGCATTTACACAACCCAGCTTAGAGGGGTGTTAAGACAGAAATTTCAGAGAGTGCAGAGGCTACACTGGTCATGTCTATACTGCTCCTTGGATCACAGAGCTCAGAGAAGATAAAAGCACAGTGTCTTTGTAGCCTCATTCAATGAATCCACATCACTAAGCACTTTGGGTCATGATTCATAGCAAGAGCTTCTTTTCTAATTTATTTACCTGATAGACTGATGGAGTCTACAGAATATGGCCATACCTATGCTCGCCCACCTGCAGAGCATGGAGGGACTTGCACTGCATTAAGGAACAGTTGAGGTTCCACCTTGCTGTACTTGCTAATGACAATCACCTCCTGTTTTACAGATATCAAAGGAGATAATTTTATTCAAGATCATAAATGGAACTGGAATTTCACTGTTAATGTTCAGATTACTAAAATACTAATCCTAGAAAGAACAGGGATTTAGAGAAGTGAAGGAAATGTACGTCAGGATGCCTGTGTTCTGGCTCTAGACCTATAGTGATTTACTGAATAAAATTAGACAATTTTATCATTCCCTCTCCGACATCTAAAAGCCTGTCCTTAATTTCACTGGAATGTAATATGAATGATTAGTTAAGGTAGATGCTAAACTCAGATTAACTGAGAATTAGCTTCTTTCACTTCTGTTCAGTAGCCTCTACATTTGTCCCTTGATGAATGGAATTAGAATGTGAAACATTTACATTTGTAAGTGCAAAATAACAGAAACACTGATATCAAGTCTTCAAGCAGCCCTGCACGCAAACTTGTTTTGTGTTCACATCACCTATGCTAAAACCTTCTGTGTTTCCCCTGGTAAGTGCAAAGAGGCCCCTCTGGAGAGAACTGTGGGGTGAAATGATCTGTTTTCTTCATTGCCTCAGAGAGAGCCTACAGGGACAGTTGTGTGGCTCCCATCTGAGCAGGTGGGGGAAGGGAGTGGGGAAGCTACACGTCATGCCTGATAATGGGACAGTAAAACAACACCCCATTAGCTAACATATGGGTTTTCAAGGTTGGATTGGAAAAGGAAACATACCATTTCAGACATCATAAATGCACTACTTTGGTGGCTATGTCTTCTATTTCATAAGGACTGACAGAATTTATAATTGAAACCATACTCACAGCTCTTATTTATTTTTCAAAAATATTTTGCTGTTTCTGACTTGAGACCAGTAGATGTTTAAAGTTCACGAAGTGTTTTAGGCATGGATAGTTATCAGCCTGCTCTGGACCTCATGTTCCATACAGCCTGCAGTTCTCCTTTTTTTCTTATTCCCTTTATTTCTTCCTCCACAAACTGACAGCCAATTCAACAACAACAGAAATCTATTCTTCACAGGCTAGGACTGCATGTTCACCCCCCCTCAGCCACCTTTCACACAAATTAGACTTAAACGGCATGACAAAACTGTGCAAATCAAGAGAAAATAATTAAGAAAGAATTAAAAGAGCACAATGCATGTTCTCTTGGTAACGCAGCACTCTGGCAGCGCTGCAATCCATTGGGTTGCAAAAGCATGTCCTAGGAATTCCCAAATCCCTTTGCAGCTGAACATAAGCTAGAGGTCTTGGTGGAGGGTCTTCCCAGAACAGACCCATAACGATGGCTTTTGCAATATGCAACTGGTGCCACAAAACTCCATCTTAGGAATGGGACAGGAGGATATGAAAAGGTGGCTGACCTCGAAGGCAAACTAAAGCTCTCTCTTCAGTAGATCCCTGAAATTCTTTGTGTATCTTTCCCTTTGGTATTTTCCAAATTCTTTTACTATTAAGGCTGGTAAAGTTCAGCTCAGATTTTCTGTTAACTCTTCGAGTGCCTTTGTAATGTGTGACAATACACAGACCACACACACTAGATATATATTCATTATTAAGTTTCTTATGTCCAGCATTCACAAACACTGGGAAATGTCATACAGCAGAAACAAACAAACAAACAAACAAACAAAAATAAAAACACATGGACCTAGGTTTAATATAAATATATGGTTGCAGCAAAAGATAATATTTTTCTAGCATGAGCTTTTTCTGGTTGACTATAGGAGAGCTATAGGTGATTAGTTTAGACTAGATGTTGAACTTTTAGTTGCGTGAGGTGAATACTGCTTCTAACAAGTTTGGTTATCTTCTTTAGACTTTACCCTTCGTGCCTAAGCATGCAGCAAAGCAGTAACAAATTCCTTTCTGTGCAATGACAACACTCTATAATATTTGAAAGCTAATTATATCTAGTTCAGTGATTACCAATTTACCTGCAAGTAATATGCCAGACAGTTTGTGGATTTTCTTTCAAAATTCAGTAACATGGCCTGAAAATGTGTGTGTTGCCTAGCTTTCTAGAGTTTATCTGGTTGAGATCAGCACAGCTGCACTGATGACAAATGAGTTATATTGGTTTATCCCGTCTGATCTTTTGATGATTGTGTGTGACCTACAAATACTGGAATTACCATACCTACTTAAGGCTAAATACAAATAACTCAAGGGAGGCCTTGTTTCAAATTTGAACGTGGAACATGAAGCACCTGAAGTTACACTTGGGCATCACAGAGGCACTGGTCTCATTTTCTCAGGTGCTGAGTTCCTGCCACCCCCTTGGAAATCAAGGGGAGGATCATCTATTTGACCAGACACTGATCTCTGCTTCCAGAGATCTTCCAGATGATTCTTCATTTTCAGGGAATTAGAACAGGAATGGAAAAAATAGACGATCAGAATACCTCATGATTCTGCTATCTATCTACTAATGATAGTAAGTCATGATATACACTTATCCAGCTCTACAAACCTCTTCTGGAGTGCTGTTGGAATCAAATCCACAAGCTACAGCATATGGTGCGGGGTACACATCTGTCCAGCCCTGACTTGTGCAATTCCTGGTCACATTTCCTAAGAAAAATAAATAGAAAGGTATGATTAACAGAAGAAGCATTGGGCTTGCCCTTAAACATATGTTTGCCTTTTCTTAATTTAAATGTCAGATCACATTTCTTGTAACACAGTAAAAGTCTCATACATTTTCTCTGTTAAGAAGTAAGCATCTTACACATAACACATAAAGTGGGGAGACAAATTTGGTCATATATTCAGTCTTCATATACAAATAGTTTTTAATATTGAGGTGCCCACAAAGCATCTCTTCTAATGGTACCATAATACCACCTGGACTCAGTCTCTTGGTTGCGGGCAATGCAAGGGTATTGTCTGAGAGTGTTATTGTCTCCGTTCCTGGAAATTTCTTCATCTAACCAGAGCAGTGAAGTATTTACAGCTTTCGTTTTGCTTGTGAGAAGCCAAGGCAGGGATAGATAAAGTCTGATTTTGTGTTAAGGTGGGAGAGCTGGGAACTGAACCCAGTCCTCAAAACCCAGACCTTGCCTATAAAACGAGTCCTGAACTTTATTCAATGCGATTCCCATGAAATCTACTGCACTGGTGCTTGAGAAAAAAAATACTTCAAAAATTGTCTAAGAGGGAAGAAAAAACAGATACTGACCATCTGTATTGCCTGTTCTAACATATGTACAAGACAGATGTTTGTCAGACAGAAACAACAAAGAACCAAACCATCAAAAGTAAATTGCATATTCCCCCAGCACCTTCTCTGACCACTGATCCCTAACCAGTCCATCTCAAATAAATCACATGATTGTGTTATCAGCTAATAAAATTTCACAAATTGAATGCTTGGCATTCCTTTGGTGTCTTTTATCACATAAAACATCCTGCCATCCCTGACCGGAAAGCTGGTACAATAAACCAGAATATGCAAATGGTAAACAGTCAAAACTTGCTTACGGCTTTTTAGTTGAAGAATTACATCAGTGAAACTCAAGAGCTTTGCAAACATTTCCAGCAATAAGGACCTTTGCACACAAGAATAATAAAACTGCACACAGGAGAAAATCAATTCTGCTGCTATGAGTCATGAAAATATCCAAGCATCTCCTCCAGGAATTTCTGACTGTTGAGTCATCTGAACGTCTTCCTAACTATATAGACCTATCTTGCACTGAAATCATCATCAGCTTATCACCTTACTTAATCCAGTTCTTGAATCCTTGTGATAGGTGGATTTTGACACCGAAACTTGGCTCTGTGATTCTTCCTTCTGATTGATCTGAATACAACAAAAGCTCTGGTGCCTTTGCTCCTTTCAGCAGCTGCTCCAAACGCAGTTTACTTGAGCAGTTCGGTGGGCTGTTGTTCCCCAGGCTTTTCCTGCATGGCCACTGTTTACATTTCTTTTTCCAGGGTTCATATCAAGATCATAAGAGATCATGTGCAAACAAAGCAAGGACATGACTATTTATTTATTTTTTAAGGTGTTATGTAATTTCTTCATTACAATGGATCCCATTATCTGAATTTTTCTGCTTCCTATTTCCTGCTCAAGACTTCTCCCTCTGTCTGGAGATGTCTTTAGTTTTCATGGTGGTTTTGCTTATTCTCAGTGAATTAAGGGGTGCCAGTTTCAGTTTCATTCATTTCCTTGTAGTTCTTTTCAAGTGCACTTCCTAAAACCATTTGATACTTTGTAATTCTTGTCCTCCCTGTTCACATGAGTACTTTTCAAAATTGTCTTAATGGTTTAGCAGATATGTAAACTACGGCAGAGGGAAACAAAATAATGTAGCATCACTGAGATTAAAAAAAACAAACAACAATAATCTGCCTAATTTTAGGAATTGTCACTTCCCTGATAAGTTTTTCTACCACCCTTTGCTGCTCATTTTACTTTTTGATGCACAGATTCGAACACGTGGTCTGATACAACACATCTTTATAACTCTCATGTTCTGTGCTAGATGCCTGGGAGGTGCAAAAAGTACAAGGTTAGAAGATATAGATTTTACCTCACTACCATTTTGAGTCAAGTGCTGGATGATATCTCCCCTCAGAGCAAACAACATTTCTAATTACTACTTGACATTAGGTTGATTACTTTCTACTGAAGATGTGCACAAGACTTGGAAAAATGCCTCACAAGCTTAGTACTTACTCTGAGGTTTACCTAATAAACAGGCTGTGAACTTTAGACTAAAGTATTAAGCTGAGATTTTTATGCTACAGGCTCAAAGCTCAGCTCTATCACACACCTCCAGTGAAACTGCAGCCAGTTCATTTGTCCTTCTTAGATTTCCATTTCCTCACCAACAGCAGGGCTTTAGAAATAAAGTCTGCTCTTCTGTCAATGGGAAAGCAAGTGTTTGAAGTGTCAAGATGTTTCTAGGCTATCTTCCATAATGGTTTCTTAAACTCTCTCCAGAATGGTGCACTAATGTAGTACATTGAAGATGTAAAATGTGGCAGTAGTGGAAAAGGCAGAGCTTTTGGACTTGGTATCTTCAATCTGTGAAAGTTCGCATTTTTCCCAATCTTTCCTATTTGCTATCAGACTGAAGCTAAATCTTTTCAAACCATTTTTCCGGAGAATTAATGAGAAAGGGGATTGGGGCTTACACCTCAGTATCACGTAATTAGCAATGTACAGTGGAGGAGATCCATTGTGAGAGCTGGAAAGCATCCTAATACTGGCTGGAAAGTGAGGTGTTTTGTGCTCCAGGCTCTCCTCTGAGTTGTGGAAAGAGGAGGTTCAAGTTCCTCGTGTGGACAGAGTTTATTTTTTTAGAATTTTTTTAAGAAGGAAAGAGGGTATACTCGTTAATAGCTTTTCCCTGTCCCTGTCATGAAATTAAGATTTTGTAGGTTTTGTATTTCATTTTTACCAGAAGCATTACAACTGTCAAACTGGTGCACCTACTCCTAAAAGCCACAACCATTTCAAAGAGATGAGGTTTTCTATTTAAAGGGGAAAGTAAAAAGAAAAAAGAAAAAGCCACAACTAACTTTCATCTGTGATAACAGTAACCTCACAACATGTTTTGCCAGAACCCAGTTTCCTGATTTCAGAGAATCACAGACTGGCTGAGGTTGGAAGGGACCTCTGGAGGCTATCTGGTTCCCTCCTGCCCAATCAGGGCCACTTAGAGCTGCTTGCCCAGGACCATGTCCAATGGCTTTTGGATATCCTCAGATATCTCCTCTCCAAGGAGGGAGACTCCACATGCTCTCTGGGCAACTTGTTCTAGTGCTTGGTCACCCTTACTGTAAAAAAAAGTGTTTCCTTAGGTTGCAAGGAAATCTTCTGTGTTTCAGTTTGAAAATTAGAAAATGCAAATGCAATTAGAAAGTGCAGGAAGGGTCTCATTACTTTAGAAGCTCACTATGCATGGGAGCCTTGCATGTAACTGAAGTCCTTTGCTAGGTTCTGCCTTTTCTCTTTGCAGGTATCAGGACAAATGTTTTTTAAAGGCAACAAGATGATGACCTTTTCATAAGGCTCCCTGCCAGGTAGGAGGGGATGGATGTACAAAGAAAGGAAAATAACTGTGCAGAAATCTCGGGAAAAAAAAAAAAAAAGTTCTCAAGCTGGCAAATATAATGTGAAGAGATAATCCTTACACAAGCTAAAGGAATTGTAGCTATTGCTGGAGAACCGGTAACATAAAAAGCCACTGATTATAGAAGAGAATGACAAGTGTAAATATGAGGCTAGACCTTTGGCTCGTTTATATCAGTGTTTATGACAATCAAGGCATAAAGCACTATTGAAAGGCAAGGGGTAAAGCAGCAGGCCTGAATAACCAGTTTTCACAAAGTTTTACAGCAGCAGTGCCTTAAAGACTCATGTGTGGCATGATGGGCCGTAAATGTTTAATCAAACCACCATATCCCTTGATTCAGCCCCAGATACCAGTAGATGTAGTGTATGAAAGTGCAAACATGTCAGTGGCTTCAGGCTGAGCCCCAGCAGGATCAGCAGGGTCTCTCTCAAGACCTACAAAAGCATGTTACACGTTACCCAACCGCAAATTTAATCCTCTGTGGTGGCAGGAAGGGTCATCCAAGCCTTCATAAACTGCTGGGATTTATACATGGCTCTTCCTCATGTGCTACCTCTGCCTGTATTCCTTGAAAATCTGCTTGCAGTGTGCCACGGCAATTAACAATCATCTACATGAAGCACGAGGAGCAACTGCATTTCCTCCGTACACTTCTCGTCTTTCTGGTAGTACGTCTGCTATAGGACAGGACTTTGCCATCTGGCCCAGCAGCTGCTCCTGGTCTAAGCAAATGCTTCCTTAGAGTTCACAATCCCCTCACTAATTTGCTAATCTGCACAGTCTGATGGTATGCCTATTATGAAAATGGAACTGATGGTTGTAAGCAATTAGCAGAATGCTTCAATCTTTCCTTCTGATTAGCTTGTACTAAATCTGGCACATGCCGCACACCTATCCTGAGTAGATTTGCCTTGTTTGCAGGGTGATTCAGAAGCTCTCTGCTCTGGGAAACAAAGAGAGAGGGAAGGAAAGCCCTCTCACTGAAAAGAAGCAGGACTGGCTGAATTCAGAGACACTTTTTGCCTTATGTTTGTTAAAAAAACAAAGCAAAACAAACATATTTCTTTTTAGCATTAAAAAAAGCAGCAAAAGAAAAAAAGACCCCAAACTGTATACTCATGAAAAGATTGTCCAAATATTCCTGTTTTTAATTCAGTTTTTGCATATTCATGTTTTGTTAGTTTTAATTCAATTTCTTCTATGGAAAAAAAAGCATTCTTCTTGCCTCTTTCTCTCTGACACTACTTTTATCCTTTTTCATTGGATCTACAAATAACAATGAATATACGCTATTGATACTGATCTGGAGACAAGGAGGACTTCTTTTTATCTTTTTCTTCCCCTTGTTTTATCCCAGTTTGGGTGAAGAGCTGTTAAAGATCCCTATGAAGAAAGACAAGTTAAGCAGCAAAATAATTTTACAATTTTTTTGCTTTATGAAGCAAACATCTTCTCAGATCCCTCAAATGGAGGTTGGGTACA